CCGCATTCTTTTCCACACTTTCCACCTTGGCAGCTGTGTGCATTCCACACCAATTTTTTTTCTTATTTTAAATAATTTTTCACCTTTAAAATATTTGCTTGCCTTCTAACCTGTAGCTCTTTGCGGTGCGCTTGCATGTGTGTATAGTGCGTGTACAATTTCTTTGTACTCGCTTACTCAACCATCTCAAATGCGCACATATGCTCAAATTTCAAATGACTTCAGATCGTATTTTATGCCTTAAAATTTTGCTATTTCCACACTTCATCCTTCTTGTAAATATCTTAAATATTTCCACTTTGCTTTTACCTCTTTGCATGTATCCTCAACGACTGCAGCCATCATCATTATCAGGAATTCAGCATACTTTTTTTTGAGAAATATTTTTATTGATCTATTTTCTTAGAATTTTTTAGTTTTTCTTGTGAACGAATATATACAAGCATTATTTGGGTATATACTGGTTTGCAATTTGGATATGTAAAAGACTTCATTTTATAAAGAATATATTTAGTAAACCAAGAAAACGAAAGGCAGATAATCAAGTTCAGTGTACGATGTACAAAGAATGATTTAAAAGAAAAACGGCTTAAATTTCTTATGAATTTTTTGCTTTGAACTCTATAGTCGCAGCCACTAATGGCTTTTTACTACCACCCGTGCCCATCGTGTCGGAATATGAGCTGCTGAAATTTGTACCTCAAGAAATTTCAAAAGCAATTAAGTACCAACTGAAACCAAATAAGGGCCCTGGGCACGACTTAATTATAGTACTCTAAAAATGTATTTTTTAGCTAGCAAATTTTGTTGTACCTTTCATCTGTATGCTACTTAATAAAATCACAAAACATTGTCATTTCCATCCACATTCGAAAAAGTCAACTATTGTGATGATACCAAAGCCCGGCAAGGACAAAACATCCAGCTATACTCCTATGAGCCTGTCAGCCTGCTACTACCGTACAAGTAGTAGCACCGTAGGAAAGACTTCTCATGCGGCCATCTCACCACTTTGGCTTCAGGCAAAAGCTTGAAACGATCTAGCAGTAAATCGCATCACATCAGAAATTCGAACAGCGAATAGATGGTTTAATTTAGGTTAGAGGTCCGTCGGTGCAGTAACACTTAGACGATGATTGCGCGGTCCATTGTGGTGTCCCTAATGAAGAGAAGTGATAAGATACACAGCAGGACACCAGATCAGCAGGTGCTGAAAGGATTCCTCCTCATCGTCTCGTATGCAGCTTGTGCGATAGGCGTCATCGATGATATTATGTCTTACCGCATGCAAACCTATTACGCAATGACCAGTTAAAACTTTCACCACCAGCGAAAGGTGTACCTTGCTTAGTCCCAAGAGCTCACTGGACAGCACCCGGAATGCACGAAGGATTTTGCTTGCTTGTATTCCAAGGTCTTCGACCAGCGCCTGCTGAGCTGACTAAACGCCTATCTGTCCAGGAGTACTCCGATTAGCTCTGCCCGGGAGCAGTTCGGTAATAGCTCCCTGTCTTTCCAGCTCAGCGGTCATGTAGATCACAGCAATTTCACTCTGATCTGGAACCCAAATAAGCTTAATAGCCTAAAAATCAAGCCATCCCTCACCGTTCTTGACCGAACCACCAGACAGGCAAGAGCCTTAATGGCTGCTTGAGTGTCGGAATAGATAGTCACCTACTAGAAAGGCATTACAAGGCCAATCCGAAGCCTACTCTATTGCCGCTACCTCTGCCTGGAAAACGCTACAGCGATCCGGTAGCCTGAATTTCAGGTTTATGGAGAATTCTCCGCAGAACCCGCCTCCACCCACTTTTCCCATTTAGCTTCGAACCATTCGTAAATACGTTAATAATACCCCGATTCCAAATACTGCACTCCTCCCAATCTCCCCTCGCTGGGATGTGGACCACCCACATCGGACCTAAACTCGTCGTGCAGTAGTCTGTTCGAGTTGGTAGGAGCTGGAAGCTTTTTAGAATACTGGCGTGCCCATAGCCCAAAGCGAACTTAAAGCCATCACTTCACCTTTCTGCGGCGCGGGCAGCGAGGGCTCTGCCTGCTATATCTATGGGCACAACGGTTAGCATATCATTAAGTTCCAGAGTAGGAGTGGTTCGAAGTACTCCACTGATTCTAATTAAGACTGCTCTTTGCGCTCCTTGCGGCTGCTTAACGATGCTTCCCTACAGCAATATAAAGCTAATGTTGCCTTCTTGATACTTTCCTCTACAAGCTTTATGTCAAGGATAAACCCGAAGTACTTCAGCGTGTCAGAAAGCCTAAGTGGAAGACGGACATTGAGGGAAGATGGCAAGTCGGTACCTTATAACTCCTAGTAAAAATAACAAGCTCCGTTTTGCTAGGATTCACACTCAGCCCGCAGCTAAAAGCTCAGTTTTCTACCAGAGTTCACCAGCATGAGTTCAAACAGTGTTTCCAGAAACTTTCGCTCCAGAGCCACCAATAGGTCCTTGACGACAGAAACCCAAAGCAATGGCGAAAGAACCCGCATTGTGGATTGAAGCACTGCCCCATTCAAGATGGAATATTGCGCTGTAATATTTCTTGACGTCGCCGAGGCAATTTATTGAGCATGGCTTGACGTCGTGCGCATCCAAAATCCCTCGAATAATCACCGGAGTCCCCTGGTGGTATATCCGAAGAGAGAATATCCACCGCGACTAGAGAAGGCCAGTAGAAATAGAGCAACGGAGAAATTTAGAAGCTTTTAGTGCCCCCAAATCAATTAGCAAGATCTCTATTGCGAGTAAAGTGAAAATCAAAATTACAAAAGAATGACTTACCAGCCCAGTTGTAAGAGTTTTTAGGTCCAGCTGTGACTGAGTGGTTAGAGATGCATACTACTACTCCGTGGGACCTGTGTTCGATCTCTGGTCTGGGCAGCATCTAAAAGTTTTCTCTTACAGCGGTCGTCCATCGACAGACAATGACTAACCGCCGGCGTAAAATTTTAGATTCCTCCATTTGTGTAACAACATCACGACGTACAGTAAAGTTGAAGGAGAAGCTCGACCAAACACTTGTCAAAAGTGTATGCGCCTTAATATAATTATTATTTTTATTATTAAGAAACTATTCATTCCAAATACGGGCGCATGTTAAGAAAATATATGAATTAAAATTTATTAAAAAAAACACGTTAATTGACCGGGTGTTTCTATAGATAAGCTTCTAATCATCAACGCAATTCAATTCACACTCCACTATATAAACGATTGATCTAAAAATATGCTACCCCACATTATTATTGCATGTTTCCC